AACTGAAAACAAAGAGGGACTGACAAGTTTTTCAGAGAACAGTTTTGTTTCATGATGAAGAGACGGCGGGGGAAAAAATGGACACATATGTAATACCCTTTGTAATAAAAAAATTAAAAAAAATAAAAAATAAAATAAAATAAAATGCAGGAAAAAAAAAGAACCATGTCATGATGATGGTTTTTTAAAATCTTAATAACGTCTAATAGGCAACAGAAGGAACACGGTCCATAAAGTCGGGCAGACACTCATGCATAGCGTCTGCATTCGTCTTTAGACCCATGCGACCATACTATGCGACCACATGGAGAGCAGAAGTACTGACTGGCACGTGCTGTCATGCAGTTGAACCTCAAAAATGGTGGGCTACATGAAGGGGTCAGTGAAGGCCATTAAACACAAAGGTCACATCCTGCATGACCCCACTCATATCAAATACCCAGGACAGGTAGATGCATAGAAACGGAGCACAGGTTGGTGGCGACCAAGGGCCAGGAGGGGGGATGAGGGGCAGCTGCTGAAGGGACACAGGGCTCTGTTTTTGGGCGATGGAGGTGTTCTCCTGCTGGACAGAGGTAGGGCCTTGTGTCCCAGTGAGATTATCCTGAACACTAGCGATTGTTCACTTAAAAATAGTTGCTTTTCTATTATGTGACTTTCATCTTAATAAAAAAGTAAATCAAAACAGACTAAAAAAAGACTTGTGTTCTAATTTCCCCCCCAAAGACCAATTGTGGACACATGGGTCATACATACCTCAGCCAAGTAAGTGTCATAATCGATTTGCTCCACTCCCGAGTCACTGAAATCCAGAAGGTTTCTTTTTCCTTCTTCTTTGAGGATAATGTCATCAAGGTTCACGCTCATCTTTTTAAATTCATTGTTCATGTGTCTAATGTGCTGTGCAATAAGAAGTCATAAGTAAGTCCATTTTTCTCCAAAAAAGTCAGTGTGGCTCAGTTGGTTGGGCGTCATCCCTTTACCACTGAAAGGTGAAAGGTTGCTGATTTGATTCCCAGCCTTGGCACATGCCCAGGTTGTGGGATCCATCCCCCACGGGCCGGGGGGGGGGGCATGCAAGAGACAGTCGATCATTGTTTCTCTCCTTCTCCCTTCCTCTCTCTCAAAAAAATCTGTTTCTTTTTTTGTTTAATTACAGGAGCCCAACTAGCATGGTTCAGTGGTTGAGCATTGACCTATAGACCAGGAGATCAGAGTTTGATTCCCCATCAGGACACATGCCCTGGTTTAGGCTCCATCCCCAGTAGGGGGTGTGCAGGAGGCAGCCAATCAATGATTCTCTCTCATCATTAATGTGATATCAATAAAAATATATTTAGAAAAAAATTACACAGGACAAAAAAAAAATACACAGGCACTTGACTGGCATTTATTCTTAACTCTTCCCTCCCCTCGCACCCCTCCCCTGCCTCTTTCCTTATGCCCTATGCAGAGCGCTATGTGAGGAGGTGGGGTACAAAGCAAAATAACAGCACATCTTTAGTCTCAAGGACCTCAAAAGGTAGAGGCAATATCATAATAAAGGCACAGGACCTGCACCAGACACGAGGGATGGGAGAGAACCTTCTAGGAGAGGAGGCAGGGAGGGCAAAACAGAGGTGGCGGCTTCTGAGTGAGTCTTAACGAAAGAGATGCTGAAAGGGGGCGGGCAGCCTGCATCCGGGACAGGAGGCACAGGCACTGGACTCAGGTGGTTGGGGAGCATGCATTTATGGGAGCAGGGAGGATGGCCTGGGGTCATCCTAAGGGCCAGCCGGTAGTGCGGGCGGTGTGTGGTGCCCGAGGATGCTGGGCCCCCCGCACCCACCGCTACTCATTCTGGCACACAGAGAGAATGTCCGATGGCAGGCATGATGGGAAATGTGTGGAGGGCATTTATTTTGGGCTTGGTTACAAAATTACATTTTTATTTATGTATATAGGCAAGGTCTATTTAGGGAATATAATCAATACAAAATGTGTATACTGTAGCCCCCTTTTTTAAATTTTTTAATTTGTTTTGTTAATCCTCACCCAAGCATATTTGGAGAGAGCAGAAGGGAGAAAGGGAGGGAGAGGGAGAGAGAGACACATGCCTATTGATTGAGACACAGCTGAGAAACCCAGAGGGTCTGGAGGTGTAGGGGAGTGGGGATGGCCTTGACAGATGGCACCCTGAGCCTGGGCAGCTGAAACTCTCCTCCTCCCTCTGCTGGTCAGAAGGGGCCATTCCATCCTGTCCCCTTCCATCCCTGGGCCCAGGGCCAGCAGAGCTCAGGAGAGCCCATAGCTCTCGGTGCCTAGCCCCACTCCAGGGACCTGGCAGAAAACGGTGGCCAGTCTTATAGAGCCAATCTCCCTGCGAAGCAGGTGGGGCTTGCTCCTCTCGGAACACCAACCCTCAGGGAGAAAGAATCTTTCCCTTGGAGGCCCTGTTAGGGGACAATCAACTGGAGGTACTCATGCCTCAAGAGAGACACCAACTGGCGGGGCGGGATGCACGTGTTTTGGAATTAGAACATACAAAGTGTCACTCCAAAATGGTTGATTTTATATGAATTTCACCCCCTTTTGAAGCAGCAAAGACAAGTGGATCGGGGAACGAGCCACGGGAATGTCCTGGCGGGTTCCGAGTGCGTACCTCCTTAATGGTGAGATGCTTACTGACATTGTAGACATTCTCCAGCTGCAGGGCAGTGTAAATGCCTTTGTTGTCTTTGCAGTCTCTGTGGGGATAAGCAGAGCGACCATGAACCAGAGAGGCAGCTGTGGCCCCCCGTCCACTGCCAACGAGGAAGAGAAGGGGTCACAGTCTCTGTTTACAATCTGTGAACAAAGTGGCCGCTGGGGGTCCACGCAGCAGGCTGTCACCTGCGGCGGCCTGAACCCCCGTGGTGCCCACCATTCCTGACTTCATTCCCCACTTTACAAAATGTCCCATTTGGAAACAGATTCAGTAGGATCGGTAAATATGTTCTTCTGTCTGTCTCCTCTGTGTTCTTTCCAGGTCTATAAGGAATAACACATTTATACATCAGAAAGAAATAAATTCTCATTTAAAAACACCCTAGCCCAGCTTGTGTGGCTGGGTGGTTGAGTGCTGACTCATGAACCAGGAGGTGAGGGTTTGATGCCCGGTCAGGGCACATGCCCGGGTTAGGAGTTCAATCCCCAGTGGGGGACACGGAGGAGGCAGCTAATCAATGATTCTCTCTCATCATTGATGTTTCTCTCTCTCTCTCTCTCCTTCTCCCTTCCTCTGAAATCAATAAAATATTAAAAAATTAAATTTAACAAAAAACAAAACAACACTTGCTATAGGTAGGCATTACAAGGCATATCTTGGGCTTTATTAAAAGGTTCTGTCAACCCTCTGCCAGCCCATCTCTCCCTGCATCCCCTGGGCTGAGCTTCACTCACTAAACACCTGGTGGAGGAATATTCTAATGGCAGGATGGAGACACCCAGGGGGCTACCGACAGGTCAGCATCCTTTGGCTAGAAACCTGACTTGGCCTCACCTCTCTGTGCTTCCTTTAAAATGAGAAAACCACCTCCCCTGAGCCTCATCTGATGCATATTTCTGTCACCCACACAGCCACTTCCTGAGGGCGTGTCCTCCCTGTGCTGCCGCCAGAGTCCTCTAGCCCTGAGAGATGCCTGAAGAAGAAACATTCCACATCCCTAGGAGGTGCGATAGCCCTCCATAGAGAGCCCCAAGTAGGCTGGTGCTGCTGGAACAGAAAGCTTGATGTCCTAACAGAAGGAAGACTAGAGTCCTGCAGGAGCCAGAATCACAAGAACGTGGTCGTGTCGTGTCCTCTCCACATAGGGATGGTTTAATCGTGCACAGAAACACCAATGGATTGATAATGTCTGCCTAGAACAGTGGTAGGCAAACTCATCGGTCAACAGAGCCAAATATCAACAGTACAACGATTGAAATTTCTTTTGAGAGCCAAATGTTTAAACTTAAACTATACAGGTAGGTACATTGTGATTAACTTAATTAGGGCACTCCTAAGGCTTAGGAAGAGCCACACTCAAGGGGCCAAAGAGCCGCAGTTTGCCGACCACAGGCCTAGAACATGTGGTTGAGAAAGATCCTGAGAGGTCTCTGGGCTGAGTAGAAGACCACAGTTAATTAGCTATGTCTGCCAGGATGACTGCCAAAGTGAAAGGATGGTGAACACAGGTGCCACTCACTCATCTGCTGTCTCTGCTAGAGGAGCTGAGAGACACTGAAATGTCATTCCTATTGCACAGCGAGGAAGTGTACCGTCTAAGACAGCCATGGGCAAACTATGGCCTGTGGGCGGCCCGTTGGAAATGAATAAAACTAAAAAAAAAAAAAAAGACCGTACCCTGTTATGTAATGATGTCTACTTTGAATTTATATTAGTTCACACAAACACTCCATCCATGCTTTTGTTCCGGCCCTCTGGTCCAGTTTAAGAACCCATTGTGGCCCTCGAGTCAAAAAGTTTGCCCACCCCTGATCTAAGATCACAGAGGCCTGAAGGCAGAGCCAGGACCGGAGCCCAGGCAGCCCCCGCCCCACAGACTGGCCCTTGAGCTCCATCACCATTTGCACATCTGTGGTTTGAACCCACCCACTGACTTTGTGTTACGTGGTTATTTGGGGGAGGGTGGTCCTTGAACAAGAGTTTTCACAGGGTCCTGCTATGCATTTTAAAGTCACTTTCACCAGTGTGTCCTAGTGATCCCTGGACAGGGGGACCTTAAAGCACTACCATTCCAAGGTCTAGAAGGTTCTCAAGGGAAGGATCAACTTCTTGGTCTTATTTCTACTATTTCTTCGGTAAGACTAGAGAACAGTTTAATTCTGAAACTGGCAAGTCTGATCATTAAAGTTAAAGACACTTGGAAAATAAAATTATCATTCTGAAAATAAACAACATTTGAACCAGAAAAAAAACTTATACCTGTAAACTTGTTCAATAGTGAGATTAATATTCATATTGTTAAGTATCTTGCCAGAGAGATAGTATTTCCAATTCTCATTTAGTAAATATGGTGTGTCCATAATCTAGAACAAATTTTAAAACTTTTTAAAAAGAAAGAAAGTTTTCTGGGGGAAGGTCAAGGGGGGGGGGGGAAGGAGACATATGTAATACTCTTTGTAATACTTTAAGTAATAAAACAAAACTTTTAAAAAAGGCAGTTTTACACTAACATATACACATATAATAAAAACAATGTTATGTTAATTATATTTTAGGGATTTTCATGTCATGATGCTCCTCATTGATGTTCAATTTAAAACTATAAAACAATAGTGTGGTTGGAATAAATCAAACCACCACTGGGTAGCATCAGCAGAAATTATTGAAATTACTTTGGAGTACACTACTTTTTAGTAAAACAAACACATTAGAAATGACAAGAACAGACCATTTTATTAAGAGTAGATAATAGAAAGCCACAAAGTGGTTGACCCAGCTCCACACTACTTCTCTCTAGACAAAATGAATTAACACTCACACATTCTCTGACTTCACATCATATATATTTAACATGGGCTAATTCATGCATGGCTGTGTATGTGCTTGAGGAGTGGAAATGGTTTAGAAATATCCCCTACTTTTTAAAAATTATTTTTAACGATTTAACACAATATGGGAGATAATAAAGTTTAGTTTGATGTGTTGTTACTATTTTTTTACCAAGAGTCCATGTGAGGATAATATGACAAATCTATGCTCTCAATTTAGCTTTTTTCAACCAATCAAATCATTAAAATACCATGACAACAACTGATTAGTTTAATAGCCATTCACCTGATTTTGTGACAGATCCTGAATTGGAAAATATATACAGTAAAACAGGGAAACATAAATATGTTTTAAAAATCAGAATCTGGAGAAAAACATCGGAGAGCCAAACTTAAAGGGCAAACATGAAAACCCAAACGTCCTTCTAATTAAATGAAGCTAAATGTGAAATGCCCCCCTAGACTATGTAGAAGGTGGGTTTCGAGGGAGAAAATGAGGCTTGAGACCCACTTCCAACTGCCTCGTCATATTCTGCCAAGAACAAACTATCTTGCCAGGAGGCACATAATTTATCATCCCCTTCGCTTCAAATATATGGTCTCAAACCATCTGTGTGGGCAACTGTCATCTGGGAAACTCTTTAACATGTCAGAAACTTCCTGGGGTTTGGAGGCACCCAGGGATTTATCTTCTGATGTTTCCAGCCACATTTGGGAACTACTGCTGAGCAAAATTTTCTTCTCCCCAAATATTAATGTCCCCATTGATACACATGCTTTAATTCCTGGTATGATTTCACTTACAAAAAATAATAACAATAACAGCATATATATTTTTTGATCTGATAGAAGGAATATCAAATAGAAGGAATCTTAACTTTTTGAATAAAAATCAAACTACTCATCTTTTTGCACTGCTCTTGAAGAAACCCAAAGTTTTGGCTCAAGCTCTGCCTTAATGGTAACAAAAACCTCATTTAGCCGAACCGGTTTGGCTCAGTGGAGAGAGCATCGGCCTGCAGACTCACGGGCCCCAGGTTCGATTCCGGTCAAGGGCATGTAGGGCACATCCCTACTGGGGGGTGTGCAGGAGGCAGCTGATCTCTCTCTCTCATCGATGTTTCTAACTCTCTATCCCTCTTCCTTCTTCTCTGTAAAAATTCAATAAAATATATTTAAAAAACAAACAAACAAACAAACAAACAAAAAAGCCTCATTTACCTGGAATAATTTCCTGTTTTGGTAAGGTTCACAGACCAATTTTTCCATATTTACACCAATGACAAAAGCAAGAACCACAGAGAGCATCGATATCCAACAAATGAAGAAACTAATTCCAACCCCACTGCAAAAAAAAAAAAAAAAAAAAGAAAGTTAAGAATTCTATAAGGAATTGTTCATTATTCAATATTACCCATCAGTAATTACTGACTCTATACTCAATGCAGAAGAGGAACCTGCATCTTCAGCTGTTTACAGGTCAAATGAGTCAGCTTACCCAGGAGTGAAGACAGAAAGTGGTCAGCACAGTGGTCTTTCAGTCCTGGGCACAATATGTACTTAGGGAACCCTTAAGGCGTATTCCTGGTCCACTTGCAGCCAGTACCATGGTTCAGACATGGGCTCTGAGTTACTTGAGTGAACCAAGACTTTCTGCAGAGGACACTGTGAGTGGGGAGGTTCTAAAGCAGGAAACGTGCCCTTGGGAGTCTGAAGGGGTGGCCGTGAGGGGTCCCAGATTGGAGGGGGTGCAGGCTGGGCTGAGGGGGACCCCCCCCCGCATGAATTTTGTGCACCAGGCCTCTAGTATAGTATATAAACACCTAAGCGACTGTTTGACCAGAAGCTATGACATGTACTGACCACCAGGGGGCAGACGCTCAGCGCAGGAGCGTCTGAAGGGGCCAACTTGGCTCTGCATCCAGAGCACAGTGTGTGGTGAATGGCAGCTTGAGAGGCAGGTAGGGATGTACTGCCAGGGAAGGGAGGGGCTTTACATTTAAGAGAAACACAATGCAACTTCTCTCAGAAGAAGAATACTCCTGGCAGAGCATGAAGTTTCTGGCGTTTCAAAGGGAACAAGCTAGATGACCATATAGATCAGTATCTGATAACAGATCAATCTTTAACAAGTATCTGGTGAATATACGGATGGATGGATGGATGGATGGATGGATAGATGGATGCATGGCTAAATAGATGGGTGGATGAATGGATATGAATATAGGAAAAAACAATGGGGATAAAGAAAGCAAACTTGGACATAATTTTCATAATAGCTGCTTTAAAAAGGAGCCCACCATAAACAGCATGTTTAAGCTTACCTATCAAAGTGCAACTCATTTAGGATTTTCTCTGACTTTTTTACTCGTGATGAAATTTCCCAAATTGATAAAAGTATAATCAACCAACACACCGACGGGACGCAGTGCTCAGCCCAGAGGACCACCATGTCACCTACTCTGCTCCGAGGTCCCAGCCCTCCACTGGCAAGGAAGAGCAAACACTCACACCATGAGGAAGGTGCCTCCGGTGTTTGAGACGCAGCCTCGTGTGGTTGGGGTGGCATTCCGTTTATAGCCAAACACGCCACACAACAAGCCCAGGTAATAAAAAATCATGATGAGAGTCAGAAAACAGCAGATAATCAAGCAACTCAGCCACCTGGTGAAACAAGCACAGTGCTATTATACATGAAAGAGGTGACATCCTCATAACACAAAAGCTGCCATACCGGGGCAGAAACAATTGAGTATAATACTTGGCCATGAAATAGTAGAAGCCCTTGTTAATTCCTCAGAAGGTGATGTGAAATGATGCCTTCCCACCGCTAGTCTTCCAACCCAACCAATAAGAACCTTTAATTTTTATCTTGGTTTTGAAGCGTTCTTGCTCCATGGTCAGGATTATTTTCGTCCTTTGCTTCACTTCTGTGGAGCTCATAAGCAGGGTTTGCTCACCTTCTCCAGGGCTACAAGTAACAATGAGCCTTAAGACTTTTACGTTCTTTCAAGGTTCCTAACCCTGGATGTACTTATTAGAATAATGAGGAGGTGGAAACAGATCAAGATTATAGTCAACAGACCAAGAAATATTGAGCTCTTTTCCTAGGTATTTCTCTAAAATATTTTGTGACTGTACAGACGTTTGATGGGCATTGTCTCCTCCACAGAACCAGAAATTCTCCTCACAGTGAGTGCATTTTAGAATTTTATGAGCATCCTAAGTCAAATGCCTGCAGAAGGCAAATACCAATTTTGTAATGGTCCTGTGTGACATTTGAGGATAATGGATCCTCAATTAGGTCTTCCTGGCAGTCCTAGAGTGTACACGAAGCTTTTCCGGCAGCTGAGGCTAAAAATGCTTCCCAACCTTTAAAACACTAAAAAAGAATTTACTTGTGAGACAAAAGCCTTTCATCCAATTAAAAGCAATCTTGATAATTATAATAATAGCCACCTGCATTCCTTCTATGGCATTTGTTCCAGGTCCTAGGGGACACATAATTCAATAGGCCATGGAATGTGGCCTCAGAAATCCTTTTCCGTTAATGCATGCCTCATTGGCTTAGTTAAATTTCTTTTAAAAATGAGCTGATGGTCTCTGGGCAGGGGGAGCTGACAGGTGGACAGATAACTGTACCCTTCTTTCCATTTGTGAAACTTCAGCGAGACTGTAAGTTCACTGAGAAAGGGTCTGTCTTATCTTTGCCCTGATACCCACTGGGGTGGCCTCGCCCCACGGTGGGAAAATGGTCTGTGGATTACAGGGCAATAATGAAGAGATAGTCAGATGGGGTTGAAAATGCACCTCTGACAATGTTGTTGCTGCCTTAAGTGAGTCACTCCATTCCCCTGAGCCTCAGTTTTCTACAAAGCGAGGCTATAAATAGAACACAACCCAGGGGACGTTGGTGCATATTATACAACAAGTCACACGTGCGGTGCTGGTGGGCATGCTGTAACCGTTCCCTAATGGCTAGTGATTATTGTTATGGTTTATCTTATGCTCTTGCATAACAAATAACCCAAATAGGAATGAATGTCGTTGGAGTGTCCTTGGGTTTGGGCAGTGAGAACACTTCCAGGGGTGGGTCATGGGGCTGAGCCTTTCAGAGGGGAAAGTGCTTCTCAATGGCTCACCTGATCCTCTGAATCCCTCAAGTCCCCAAGTCCTTCCCTCCCCGGCCCTTGGTCTGATATTCTGCCCGCACCTCCCAGGGCCAAACCCCATCAGTAGCACTTTCTAATGGGGCAAATGGCTGCTTACCCGAGCTCTTGGAACAACTGACTGGGTTCAGGGATGCACTTTCTGCAAGCACTGACCTCTCCATATTTATTTTATAAGCCAACGATGGAAAGAATATTACCCAACTGCCCTTGTCCTTCTTAATTAAAGTTTTAAAATCCTGGTACATGCCTCAGATAATTATCACTACGATTCTAGAAGTCACTAATGACATCAAAAGTGCAACTTATTAAAAACTTGGCTTAAGAACTTCAAGTCTTCAAGTTAAATAAAATACGGAATGCATCCTGAATTTGCAGGTCAGCTCTGCAGAAACTATGCGCATGTTCTTGATGTAGTTTCAATTGTATTTTATTTTTTATTTCCATAATAAATTTACTTATAAGGTTTTATGATCTGTGATTTTTTTTCTTTTTTTTAAATCCTCACCTGAGGATATTTTTCCATTGATTTTTTTTTTTTTAAGAGACAGTAGAAGGCAGGAAGGAAGGGGAGAGAGAGAGAGAGAAACATCGATGTGAGACCAGGGCCAGGGATCAAGCCTGCAACCAAGGTATATGCCCTTGACCGGGAATCAAACCCAAGATCCTTCAGTCTGAGGGCTGACTCTCTAATCACTGAGCAAACCTGGGCAAGGCTGTGATTTTTTTCAATTATAGTTTACATTCAATATCATTCTGTATCAGTTTCAGATGTATAACATAGTGGTTAGACAATCATATACTTTACTGAGTGCCCCCCCCTCCCCCCCCATGAAGGGATTAAGAAGTACAAATTGGGCTGAAACCAGTTTGGCTCAGTGGATAGAGCGTCGGCCTGCGGACTGAAGGGTCCCAGGTTTGATTCTGGTCAAGGGCATGTACCTGGGTTGCGGGCACATCCCCAGTGGGAGATGTGCAGGAGGCAGCTGATCAATGTTTCTCACTCATTGATGTTTCTATCTCTCTATCTCTCTCCCTTCTCTCTGTAAAAAATCAATAAAATATATTTTAAAAAAAGAAGTACAAATTGGTAGCCACAGAAGAGTCACAGAGATATAAAGTACAGATAGAGAATATAGTCAATAATATTGTAATAACTGTGTATGGGACAAGGGGGGTCCTTGAAATATCATATAATTTCCATTGTAGTGTATGTCCCAATGAAGTGAACAATTCAACTTTTCGAGTGAGCATCAACTAGGGTGAATACATTGGGTTATGGTCTCTTTGTACAACTTGCTCTCCTAAGATTATCTTGGTTGTAAGGTCAAATTTACCGCATAGCAAGCTTCACACTCCTAGTTTACCAGCTCAAAGGAGGCACTCACCTGTATGACTCGTATTTTTCCACCCTGGGCAATTCCCGGTAGATGTTACTTTCAAAGTCATCGATGGAATCCAAGAAAACGGACAGCTTTTCCCTAATGGGAACCTCTTGTGCTATCATTTTGATATTTAAACCAATGTAATTCAAGATCCTTTTGACAGCTGGAAACAAAAACATCTCAGTCATGCATTCCTAGAGGAAACAGAAGCTTTGTTTGGGCACCAAAATGAAAAGAATTTGAACCACTTTCACTTTTTCCCGTGTTATGTGTGCACTTGAAGTATGAAAAGTTCTGCACCACGCGGGAATGTAGCCAAGACCATCGAAAAGCAATTACTTATCAAAACAGGAGGCTAGGGGCATGGACTTTGATGATATGGTGCTGAAATCAAGCCAGAGTTTTCTTCCAACTTATTTTACTTTACCCATTTTATTTATTTATTTTTTTATTGTTTAACTTATTTTTTTTTAAGGGTCAGATAATTAAAATGTACTGTGTACCTACCCCAGCCCAGACACTTTTATCAATATTAACTCATTTATTTCACTGAGGTAGATATGCTTATTGCCATTTAATATCAGTGACCCTGGGGCCCATAGATCTTAAATACCTGCCCATATGTCTTTTTCAGAAAGCACTGGAAATGGAGCTTATCTAACTCTACAGCTTCTGTGAAGTGACTTCTGGAAAACAACTTCATAACCTAACAATTCCTTCCATTATGTGCCGGCATCAGAAACACACCAATTCTCTGGGGCTGAAGTTGTGAACAAGGGACTCCAGGTGGTATTTTTGTTAAATTGTTGTGTGGCTCATGCAAACTGAGCCTTGTCAAAACACATCTGTGTTCGCTACATGCAAAAAGCAAGAATATCCCCAGTGGTCAAACAGTCCTCGTTCATCTCCACCCTAATCTTTCAGAGAGGAGGTTAAGTTCTAGCTTTCTGGAAAGTGTCGGTAATGGCCGGTCGAGAAGAAAGGCCACCTGGGGAGCAGGGTGCCCCCTGGCCTGGCATTCTCACAAGGTGGACTGAGAACAGACAAGGCACTTAAAATCCTGACCTGCCATCTCCGCAGCAGCCAAGGAAGGTGCACAGTTCTCTCGAGGCCATCTGGGTCTCCTGGTGAATTCTGGGTAGATGGGAACATGGTCCAAAATGGAACTACATAAAAGCGGTGGGAACCTGTTTCAAAGTGTGTTGCTCACAATATCACTGCATGTGGCTCAATGCCTCCTGCAAACAGCATGCGTGCGAAAAGCCCCAGGATCCTCGGCGAGGTGGCTCCATGGGCCTCTTTTTACCTCTGGGATTTCTGGGAGTCAGACAGATGAGATCTATGGACTCCTCCTCTCAGATGGATGGTTCCCGAAACTAAGAAGGGGGCCCCTGTCTGCCTCCCAAGCTGTCCTGCCCTGTCACCCAGCACAGCTCCCCAGCCTTGCGAGCTCCGGTGCCCTCTCTTAGCTAATACCTCCTTTAGGCCTCAGAAGTCGCTTCCTCCAGGAAGCCTCCCATCAGCCTCGTCCCACACCCACAGACCTCAACATGTCACCAGAGTGTGATGAACAGCACCTGTACACATGCCCAGCCAAAGGGGCAGCAGTGGCCAGGCCTTATTCACTTCCCATCTCAGAGTCCAGCAGAAACCTGGCACACAGCAGGCGCTTAAACAGTGTGCGCAGGACAGGACCAAATGGTCAAACCAGGGGACCTGAAGGTTTCTATTTGTTTTGGATGAGTAGTTAATACTCCAGCTGACGAAGTGGCGCTCGCCTGGACCTGGGAAAACTCTGGCTTGTGTTTAGGCGATGATGGTGTGTGCAATGGGCCTCGCTCACGCACTCCACACACCGCGCTTTGCCAGACTTACAGGGGAAGCTGCACAGATTGGCAGGAGAGGTCCAGGAAGGGGAGGCAGAGAAAGTAAACAGAGATCAGTAAGTACATGGCTATCAGAGGTACGGCATTGGTCAGCCTTAGGATGCTGGCATAGCAAAGCGTGACTTTGTCTTTAACATCAGAGTATTTTTAGGCGAAATATTAGACTGAACAAAAAAAAGAAAACCCACAGGGCATCTAAAGCACTATATAGTGGGGGGAAAAATTTTTTTAAGACCACAAGTCTTAATGGGTTGAAAGAATAGTATTAGAAAAAAAAAATCAAGTACCTCTAACACAATATTTCAAACTACTTGGTCAACAGATAAATAGAAGCACTGAGAAAATGATTTGTTTAAAAGAGAAGATAGTTGGCCTCCCCAGTGTGGCTCAGTGGTTGAGCAATGACCCTTGAGCCAGGAGGTCAAGGTTAGATTCCTGGTCAGGGCTCATGCACAGGTTGCTGTGGGCTCGATCCCCAGTAGGGGGCGGCAGGAGGCAGCTGATCAATGATTCTCTCTCATCACTGATGTTTCTATCTCTCTATTCCTCTCCCTTCCTCTCTCTAAAGTCAATAAAAAATATATTTAAAAATAAAAATAAAAGAGAAGATAGTTTTACACAGCTTCAGAGATGTCTCCCCTTAGAAGACAACCCAGGTTTATGCCTACCCTAACCTCAATATAACGTGATTCAATCATTCACAACCAGTAGAATTCACTCAACCTCAGTCTGTCTCTCCAAACTGTGAGCGACCTTCAGAATCTAAATACCATTACATCAGCATCAGAAGACAAATAAATATCTCCAAAGACAAAATAAATCCTTATACATAGTATTCTTTTAAAAAATATATCAATTTTAAGTTCTTTTAGGAAATATAATAATCTACAGCTTTTGCCCCAGTGATAACAATCAGAATGTGACTCCAAGCTTTGGCTTCTGGTGGCTCTGCTAGCTCACCCTGAGGGCTCATCACTGCAGTGTGGCCCTCAGCCAGGCAGCTTCCCGCCAGCAGGGGGCGATGTCAATCTGTGCTCATACGAGGATTATTATTTTTTAAATCAATGTCAATTGTGAATTTGGTACCATCAAAAACCTCTGATATTCGTTTAGTTTTCTAGATCTTAGTGAGAGAACATTTTTTTCAAAATATATTTCATTGCTTTTTTTACAGAGAGGAAGGGAGAGGAATAGAGACTTAGAAACATCGATGAGAAAGAAACATTGATCAGCTGCCTCCTGCACACTCCCTACTGGGGATGTGCCCACAACCAAGGTACATGCCCTTGACCGGAATCGAACCTGGGACCCTTGAGTCCGCAGGCTGATGCTCTATCCACTGAGCCAAACCGGTTAGGGTGAGAGAACATTTTTTAAGAGGGAATGAGAACAATGGAATTCTTAGTAGATTTCTTTGTGCTAACCACCAATGCTTAATGAGGAGAGATACAAAATTATTTCAGTCTGTCACTCACCTGGTATTATATCCGTGGTTTGTTTTTCCACTCTCTCGGGTATATTATTAATGGATTGATAGCTCTAAAAAACAGTTCAAAATAAATTGATGTGCATAGTAAGTAGAACACCAGGGACCCGGTACTCATTTAGCACAGAGCAGAAAAGCAAAATACAAATGTAACATTTACCTTAAGGTGGAAATTATCATTATGTGGCCATTAAAAGTCTCAAAAGATTCCCCATAGAGGGGACTTGCTTTCAACTGTACCCATCAAAGCTTATGCTAAAAGTTTTTAACTTTTCACTTTTAACTCATGATAAGTTTACATGTATCTACACCATACCAGTGTCTCTCAAATGGGGACAATGCTGTCCTCCAAGGAGACATGTGGCAATGTGTAGAGACATTTTGGTTGTCACAGCTGAGAGGTGCTGCTGGCATTGTGCAGGGTGGGGTGAGGGTGCTCATAACTACCTTGCAATGCATAGGAACAGCCCCCCCTGCAAGGAGTTTCCCAGCCCCACACATCCGTATGCTGAGGTTAGGAAACCCTGATCCATACAACGCGCCGTGTGCAGATGCAGATTCACAGATAACCCGTATCTGCGAATTTCTAAAATAGCATCTTCTTTTCCATGCAATCACAACGTGAAATTGGGGGTCTAGGCTCACAGAAAACAATAATGCCCTTAAAGCCCAGCTTCTGGAGAATACACATTGTCGTGAGGCAAAAACAAGAACAAAGACAGCCTTGCCCAGCCAGGTTGCTGGAAGGCTAAATCCGGGGCAGGAAAATGTCCTTATTTCCCAAGTCACTCAAGGAACTATCCAGCCTCTTTGCTGGAAGAGGCTTAACTTGTGTTTCTGTGTGTCAGCTGGTGTGTGTCGCCACCTGCCCGGGAGCACTGCAGTGACTGTAACCTGTTCTGAACGCAAGGTCTGTGTCCCCCCTAAAATGCAAACGCTGAAATCCCTCCCCCAGGGTGATGGTATTAGGAGGTGGGCCTCTGGGGGTGATGAAGTCAGGAGAGTGGATCCCCTTGAATCAGGTTGGGGCCCTTATACAGGAGCCTCAGGGAGTTCTCTGCCAGGTGAGGAAAAGGACCGGATGACAAGGACCCAGTGAGAAATGACCGCCTGCCACCTGGACGGGTCTCTCACCGGATCCCGGACATGCCAGCATTCTGATGGCAGAATTCCCGCCACCAGACTGGGAGAAATAAATGTCTGCCGCGAACAGCTGCCCAGCCTATATGCTCTTTTATGGCAGTGCAAGCCAAGATGTAAACTTGGTGAGGTTTACGGTGCCCCCAGGTTCTACTGCAGCCTAGCAGCATCGATGACATAAAACAACATCCCAACTGAATCTCACTGCTTTTCTTCTGTTACCTGTTTTCGTACGCATTAGTCTGCTCATTAAAATAAGCTACTGTATGTCCCCCAGATAACATACCATTTGGACCAGGCTGGATAGATTTGTCTGAAGAACGCCATTGACGTGATTAATTTCATTATCCAACAATCTGAGCTGAAATGTGTAAGACAGAACATAAGGCAAGGTGGTTACCCCCAAATCACTTGTCATCTTATATCCAAGTTCCAAGCCTCTATATTATAGGGTATGATCTATATCTTTGGGAACAACAGGGTATTGTGTGGGGAAAACACAGTTAGCACAGGATGGCCTGTATCAAGCACTAATTTTAGATGGGGGAGGTCTCCTGCCTCAGGAGGGAGAGAAATTGAACACAGACTGAATAGGTGTGACCTCAGATTTTAGGTACTGAATATCCTATATAATAAAGATGTAATATGCAAATGGTCATTACGCCGTGAAGTGTAACGACCGGCCATGGAATGACCGGATCACGGATCAGTAGGAGGGTGGGGCAGCGAGACACAAGTGGGCAGTGGAGAGCTACAGGAGGGGACAGGGCAGCAAGCTATGAAGAGATCGGGGGGAGCTACTGGAGGGCAGCAGCGAGCTACTGGCGAGCTACTGGTGCACGGATTCATGCGCAGGGTTACTAGTTATTGAATAAACAATCTTTTCAAAAACACATTTAAAAGTAATACAATCCATGGTTCTTTTGGTGCATGATCTGGAATAAATTTTTCATTTTACATCATGCATAGATTTAAAGTGTCCTATCTCTTACCAATACCAAGACAAATATCCTGTACCTCCCAACACAGTATACTGAAGACACAGTATCACTTTTGTGATATCCTGACAAATGTGCATACTTTAAATCTAATCATGAGGGAACATCAGACAAATATAAATTGGAGGTCATTCTGTATAATAAATGCCTGTAGTCTTAAAAAATGTCAATGTAGTCCTAGCTGGTTTGGCTCAGTGGATAGAGCGTCAGCCTGCGGACTAAAGGATCCCAGCTTCACTTCCAGTCAAGGGCACATGACTGGGTTGCAGGCTTGATCCCCAGTAGGGGGCGTGCTGGAGGG